CTCTTAACTGCGCCATTAGCACCAGCTGCTGTGGTTAGGTGTTTGATTAGTCAAAATTAAGACCAGGTTTAGCACTACATGCTAAGAGGACTGATCAGTTTTTGTGGTACAGTCCTGGGGCAGTGCTTTTTCCTCTGTTCCAATGGCGTGTAGAGAGAGCAGGGGTGTTAATGGCTCACTGTATTTTGGGCTCTTTTTGTTTTCTGCTTCACTTTGTCAATGCGCAACACTGACGAGGCTTAAAGCCCTGGATGAACTAGGTGGAAACTCAACGCTTAGTCAAAGTGGAGCTAAAGGTCATCAGCATCATGGAAAACTTTCAATTGGGCAAAAGCTGCTGCGAAGTCCTAAACCCAACAGAAACAAGACCACAAACAACACCAGGGATGTTGAAACAGATTACCAGGCAGACGTGGGTACGTAAAGTTAAAATTGAAAGTGAGCCATGGCTTTTAAAAGTAATAAATCCAACATTTGGTCTCTTATGCTTGTAAAGGATTTTGTGTTCATAGTGTTTTAGGGCCTCTAGTAAACGACTGCATACCTTCTAAAACTAATTTCAAACCCTACTTTTGAAAGCCTGGGAGGAAGCTAAACAACCAGATGGACAATATGGTGGTCTCGACCTGGAGGCAATGGAACGACTCCTTAAGATGGAACCAAAGGTTGAATGTACGCTAGACTCCATGACGCTTCAGGTTCATGATGCTGCTTCTACCCCTGGATCTCTGCTTTTCGTGGACAGGGGTAAGTAGTTATGTTAAGGTCTGCGTAGTAGTTCCATGTAATGCTTTTTACACCCTCCTCCTGCTGAACGTCTCCCCCAGGAAGCCATTTGTCTCCTTTGCCCCTGTCCAAGTTACCTTCGAGCTGCGGTTACACCATCAGCTCGACACGACGAGATCTGGTCCTAGTCGCACCCTATGATGGTTGCTTCGTCGCTCTCCAGGTGGGTCACTGTGATCTGAAGGCACTGCACATTTTAACCACGTGCTTATGTATAATAGCTTCCTTGCTGCTTTCAGGAGGACACTTATGTTCTCCCACTGCTTTGGTGGGGCATACCAGTGAGGATGTCGTGCCCTTTCATGGGCTCGCTGTCACTGAATCCTCCGATGGTCACCTGCAATACTGCGGACATGCTCGTAAAAACGGAGTGGACCCTGCCCGTCTCCAATATTAAAGTTAAGTGTGAGTTTTTGGTCCTCATCATGTCTCTGTTTTTGTTTTTAAACCAGCACTAAAGACATGACATGTTGGCTAAACTGGCCTACAAATACTTTTTCCAAACCCTGTGTGACTATGACAACCACTTAATTTTCATGTATTTTAGATTCTCTTAAGGTTAACTGATGGTCCAAACTCCAGTGTGTGTGTTTTGTTTTTTGTCTAAACTTTTTAGCTTTCTATGTGGCTTTCTATATTTTCTAAATGATAGCTTAGTTTGCCAAAAGATGACTTTAGGAGTAGGAAACCTAAGGTGAGTTCCTGCCTGCCATTTATTTTGCAGTGAACGGTAAATGGGAGCCACTAACCGTGGCCTCAAACAGATGTGGCTTCAGCACAGTCGAACATCCTGAAGGTGTGGTCATCTCTGCTCATTATGCGCCCTGCCTAGAGAAAAAGGTATGTTGTGCATGTTTGTTTTGATTTTTCTCCCTTTCTTAGGAAGAAAGATAACTTGTATTTCTGTTCAGGATGGGTTGTATACTCTGGAAGTTGCTGGAGATGGAGAAGCAACAATTTCCTGTCCGTCACAATTACCAGCTCAGCCTGAATTCACAGAAAACCCAGCAAAGGATCCCGATTGGCAAAATGAAACGCCGAGCAAAGGTGTGTATGCGTCGACTTTTCCTCATGATCCTCATCAAGCGGTTCTTCCTCAGAACTCAGATATGCTGAATCAGTGGCCAGAAGATACGGATCGTCCTTTCCACCCCACTTTCTTTTACTCTGCAAGTCTGGTCAATACACCTGCTGCACCCGCAGTGAATCCTAGACCTGCTTCATCTCCAGTTGTCCAAACTGATGCAGGGAAAAGATGGCAACATTTTCCCCCTTTTTATTCTCAGCCACCTGCCCCTACACTGTCACTAATAACTAAACCACCAGCAGGTCAGTTTGAAGAACATTTGCTTCCCAGCCCAATCAACCCACGGCCTAGTCTCCTTCAGGAACCTCCTGCAAGCCAACCCGAGAGTCAAGACAAAAAACCCCCATATTCATTTTCTTTTTACTCACAGCCTTCAGCATCTGAAGATCATCCACCATATCACAAATTACCTGAAAAACCAGAGGAAGCAGAACCCAAAGCACAGAACCAACTTTCCCACCTCTATCACTTCTACCCCCAACCAAAGCCCAAAGCACAGCCTGCAACAAACCTGTCCACTGTTCCTCAGCCACCACAGCCTGAAGCCCCTCAGCGTCAGGTACACCAGCAAATGTACTTGTGCCCTGAAAATCAGCCTGCCAGAAATCCAAATGCTGCTTTGGCATCAGCAGCTGAAAGTCTTTTGGGACAAGTGTACAAACTTTGTCAAATATCTGAGACACCAGCTGGAACAAATGAGGAAAATCCAGTCCAAAGCACACCACCTCTTCTCAGATATCCACAGGGTCAGATGCATCACCTACTTAACCAGCTCTATTACCCACAGCAGCTCCAGCTGCTACAGCCTGTGACATTACCCTCTGCTACCTATTTGCAGCCACAGGGTGCTGCTAAACCCAGTGACCAAAAACATCCTGAATCTGCAATTCCACTAACTATCAATAGTTATACAGCCCCGCAAGATCCTCAGCTCAGCTCTGCATATATGCAACGTGTGTGCTCCTTGTCTAACTGCTGTACACAAATGACTTTTTATCAGCTTCTCCATATTACTCCAGCTAGAGTTGGCAGTTGTGCAGATGTGCCTCACTTGTTTCCAGATCTTTCATTTCCACCTACAGCTTCATATTTTGAGTTTGGCGTGGGTTCTGCAAGACTTCCTCAACAGCCGACTGAAGCAGCACAATCTGCCTCATCTTACACCTCTGTGCCCCTCTCACTGCACCCCTTTCCAGATCAAAATGTGGAGCAATTATATTTACAGCCACCAGATGGCAACCCTACTACACCACGAGGAAATGATCCAAGTTGGACTGCAAATCATGAACCACTGAACCGCGTGAACCCCGCACCTAATTCACTGCATGCCCACTGGCCGTATCTACACAGCCAATCCTCAGAACCTCTGCCTTCAGGTTATGACCCAGCAGGGCAATATCAGCTGAATAACATTAAGTCCCCAGTGCAGGTAAATGGTCAACTATTGACTGGGAACTTGAACCGTCCAACGTGGCCTAATTTTATGTCTAACAACCCAAATTCACAGCAGCAACACAATAAATCACCTGGAGAGGAACTTGATCATTTTATGGTTCCTTTCGATAGGCTTCAGCACGCTCCTGTATCCACTTATAACAACTCTGTGTTCCCGAACAATTTAAAACCATTCATAAGTGACTCAAACTCCAAACATGAGCAGACTCTAAATTTCTATTCTGGGAATTATGTGCTGCTACAGCGTGAACTACCAGGCAGGGAGCCCAACAGCTTCGTGGATTCCTCTGAGCTTTACAGAGATCCGACTGTTGATTTAAATTTTATGACCCAAAATCTTGCAAAAAAGCAGAATGGTAAACTTAAGACTCCACTGAATTTTAAGCCCCTGCAGGGAAATGACCAACTCTCCAAGTGGCTTGAGGAAGGTATTCCCACTCCCTCGCCTGGTAATGCTAACCATGGTGATGATTATGATAATGAAAATGAGGATAATGATGACATTAACAATTCCGGTCTGCCATTCCTTTCTCCTACTACGGATGGCCCTCCACTTATATTTCCCCTCTACAAGCCACCTTTAGGTGCAGCACAGTTAAAGCTAAAATTCCACGAATCCTTTAAAGACTTCTCGACTCCTTTAGGCTCCAGCAACAGGTTTCCACCCCATAATGCTCAAAAGATGTTTCAAGGATGGGGCTGAGAAGCTGATCACTAAGCTGGTGGTAGTGTGTAGCTGAGGCAGGTGTTGAACTCCTTACCCTTGTTATTTGGACTCGTACGAATGTCTCTTGAACTCCTTCAGAAGAAGCATTGAAGTTGGAAGCATGAAAGCAGCAATTTCTAGCAATGTGAATAAATGGTGCAACTACCCAAAACGTGTGCTTTGAACTTTTTTTTTTTCTGGAGTGTGTGTTGGGCAGAAGGGCATAGAATTCATATCTGCTGTGACGTAGGTCGTGACGGACGACCTCTGTTTGGCTGCTTTTGCTATCAGTTTACCCAGTGGGGCCATAATATCCGCTTCTTACACTTGGAAGGTACACAGCCTTTTTTGAACCTGTTTGTCCAGCTTGTTTGTGCTTTAGCATGATATGCATTGATCCGTTCTTGTAAATGCAATAAATGGAATTTGCCCATTCATAAACAGTTGCCTGGGGGTGGGTGGATGAGTGCTTGTGTGGTGAACTTGAAAATCAAGTGTTCCACTGCTCTCATTTGTTTTAGCACGCAATGTTTGTCAGTAAAATATACTGTGTAATGAAATCTTTAAAAAGCGTGTGTGTGTGTGTGTGTGTGTGTGTGTGTGTGTGTGTGTGTGTGTTCTTCCATGACTGTATGAGAAGTGTCAGCGGGTTCACAGCAGGATTGAATGCACTGTAAACTTCTGCACTTGTTCTGAAAGACTTTGCAGGGATGACTGAATGCATCATGGTACATATAAGTGTGCTCACTAGGCCTGTAAATGTACTGACATAGTCGATTGTTTTGATTTATAAACACATTTACTGAAGATTTAATGATCAGCATTACATTCAGTTTTACACAGATGATTGTCTGATTTGACAGTTTAAAGCAAATTATTCCTACTGCCACTACTGGACATGGCTCACATATCAAAGGTGCTCTGCTACAAATGAAAGCAAGTATAGAGTCTGTGGGACTTGAACACTTAGAAGAATCTGACTCTTCCTGGGCAGACTGGCACGAGAGAAACTGGTCCTGTTTGAACAGCAGGAGCATCAACCATGATGGCAGCAGATACATCTCTCTTCCTGAAGAAAAGAGGAGGCTCCTTACTCGTCAAAGATTCTCCAGCTGAATCATAATCTGCAGCTGGAGCAGCAGCAGCAGGGACGACAGGTACAACTTCAGCTGACTCTGCAGATAACAGGACGTTTTGATGGGGGTTGTGGAGAGCAGTCAGTTTGTGGTGGCTGTGGCCATGCTTGTGTGACAGGCCGTGTGTGTGCACATGAACCACTGGTGGTAGGACGGGGTCTGCAGCTGCAGTGCTGTTGGCATCTACAATGGGAATCTAAAAAAAAATGACATCAGTGAGAGAAAAACAGTTCTTAATGTTTTCTGTGTGAACGTTAGATGGTGAATGTTGTTTTGTCTTCATGAATCAGAACATATTAGAAGTCAGATGCAGTATTTTACCAGAGTGGAGAACATCTTGCAGTCCACACTGTGCTGGGCGATTGTACCTTTGGCTGTACAAATCCCACGAGCCTGGAGAGAGAGGCACAGCTCTCAGTTTTGTTCATTTTCAACATCTGGTGACCTGATTGAACATTTCTCCATCTCAGATCAGCTGAACAGGCCTGAAAACAAACTGAGTGCTTTTACTACTGTGTACTCACAGCCATGGCATCGTTGAGAGGCACGCAGGGATCCTCGGTGCAGTTTCCCTCAACAACCACATATTCTGTTATGAAGATGGGCCCACCAGACACAACCTGAGAGTATTAAACAGCACTGATGAACTGACAGCTGCAGGTTAAAGCATGCAGCTGTGTTACATCTGGTAAAAAGTATCCTGACTGTCTGACCTGTGATGACAACCTTCCAACCTCGAGAAGAACATGTGTCGTGTTCACAGTCATGTTGTTGAAGGTTGTCAGAGAGGCATGAACAAAGTCCAGCGCATCGGTGTTATTGAGGGGAAGGAAGCTGGGACAGCCCAAACACAAATCCTCTGTGGATACTACAAGTCGAGCAGGAAAGTCACATACAGGTTATTGACACATGCAGTATGTATGGACACTGCTGTGGTTTGTTCTTTGTAATCATTTGGATGAGAGCAGCATCTGTGATCTTTACCCTCTGATTTGCACTTGAATGCAATGACCTTCAGAACACCGCCAACCTTCTTCAGCACCACATCACAGTCTCCTTCTACCGCCTGGAAGAGAACGAAGAATCAAAGTAGGTTGATCAGAACTAATATCGACTGAATTACAGGAGTCGAAGCCTGAGAGCTTCTGCGTCTCACCGTCTGTACTTTGGGCCTGACTGTGCAGTTGGCAAGAGGCAGCGGGTCCAACACGTGACAGTCTGTCTCCAGCAGGTCAACTTCCATGTCGTATTCATCTCCGTCTGGCTAAAAAAGCAAAAATATATACAAATCACTGCACAATTGTTACATTACTTTTAAAAAATGTAGTGCATAAGATGGTAATTGACTAAATTCTGCTGTATATACTCATAAAAGCAAAGTGGACCTCCCGTCTCCAAAATTAAAGCTAAATTTAATTTCCCTCGTCTCCCCATTTAAAAAAAAAAGTCCTGTTTCATGTTTAAGACCAGCACTAAATACATAAACATTACCTGGATTCTGCTGCAACTCCTTTTTCAAACTCTGCATGACTTTTACAAAGACTAAGTTATGTTAGGCTCTTATGCTGTGCATGTCACCTTACATCTTACTCCCATTAAAGGACTCGTGTCCCTCTTTTTTTTATGTCACAACATGTGCAATAAAAGTCTTAAGGCCAGCCTCAGCGGTGTCGCAGGAAGACATCTGCAGGACAGAAGCAAAACCTTCTGTTCAGTCATATTTTCTGTTACAGGATTCATGAGGGAAGTTTTTCTCATGATCGGACACGTTTGTTTCAGTTTTGTGTCACTTGTCTGTGTACTCTGTCCCAGTTCATCATTTAAAGCTAATTAATTTACTCATTTAATTCATGTAGACTTGTACAATGGCCTGAGCCACAATTTGTTACAAACATTTAAATGTTGCAGTGATTAAAATGAGTCGTCCTCTGTTAACAGCAGTGCTCAGTATAAACAATAAAGAAAAGTGAATATATTCAGTCTAACGAGCTGTTATATCATTAGCTGTGGAAATTGAGGAGCAGTGCATGTGTTTTCAGTATGAAAGCTTCCTTTGGCATCTAAATGATTTTTGATTTGGAAAAGGGTGACTCTAAGAATCCAGTAAATTCTATTAAGTGGAAAGTTACTGTTTAATAGGTTGAAGTTTACAGTGAGCGGTAGCTGGGAGCCATGAACTCTGACCTCAAACAGATGTGCTTTCAGCACAGTCGGACATCCTGAAGGTGTGGTCATCTCTGCTCATTATTCAACCTGTCTATAGGAAACGATACGGTGTGCATATCTGTTTGATTCTCTGCCTTTAAGAGGAAAAAACATGTATATTTCTGTTCAGGATGGGTTGTACACTCTGGAAATAGAGGGCAAACAGTAACACTGAGCAAAAGTGAGTATAAACCCACTATTTCACTTGATCCTCATCAAGCTTCAAACCTTTCAAGGTGGCTGCCCCACAACTTCCAGGTTTTCCATATAAATTAAAGGAAACTAAATGAGGGTCCGGAGGATACTGACCAACATCACAACCTTACTGTTTGGACTCTTGTGAATGCCTCATTACGGGCTCAGTAACCAAAATTGTGCTTTAATTTTTTTTAAGCTGAGAATTTGATGTTTATGGGTTCAAAACAACTGTCTAAAACATCTGGAAAGTGGGTGTTAGAGCAGCTGGGTATAAAAATCATCTTATCTCTTCGTGTGTGGGTAACCAAGGACAACTTTTTCTTTATTTGGCTGCTTCTCTTATCAGTTTAGCCCGTGGGGGCATCATATCGCTTTTTAGACTCAGAGGGTTCACAGCATTTTTGAGGCTGTCTACCTAATTTGTCCTTTACCATGAACTGCAGCTTTCTGAACATTGATCCATTCTTGTAAATTCACTAATAGACTTTGCCCATATTCACCAGCATTGACCTGTATGTTTGTCTGTCTGTAACCTGAGAAACTCAGGTCGATGGGATAAAATATCTTATCAACATTTTCACATTGAAATCTTTAAATAGCCTCTTATGATTATGAAGTGTGAACTCTTTCATACTTGGATGTATGAGTATCCTGGTGTTTTCACTCATTTCTGAAATGTTGAGTTGTGGTGAGCATGGATGTGCAGAGGAAAAGCTGCTGTTGTTCATGGCTGTATCAGAAATGTCAGCCGGTTCACAGGAGGGTCGTTGGCATGAGTCAACACAACAGGCAAACAGCACTGTGGACTTTTGAAATCGTTCTAGAGGACTTTGCAGAATGACGGCAAGAACTACAGTACAAATGATCAGTGTGTCCTCATTAACCCTGTAAATTCACTTGAGATTTATTCAACATCTTTACAGACAATTTGACAGAGAAGCTTGTCTGATTTGACAGTTTAAAACAATGAATTATTTCTCATTGGTTGGTGTTTTGTTACATCTACTGGAAATGGCTAATGTATCAAAGGTGCTCTGCTACAAATGAAAGCAAGTATAGAGTCTGTGAGACTTGGACACTTAGAAGAATCTGACTCTTCCTGGGCAGACTGGCACGAGAGTAACTGGTCCTGTTTGAACAGCAGGAGCATCAACCACGGCAGCAGCTGCAGCAGATACATCTCTCTTCCAGAAGAAAAGAGGAGGCTCCTTACTCGTCAAAGATTCTCCAGCTGAGTCAGAATCTGCAGCAAGGGCAGGATCTGCAGCGAGAGCAGGGTCTGCAGCTGGAGCTGGATCTGCAGCTGGAGCAGCAGCAGCAGGGACGACAGGTACAACTTCAGCTGATTCTGCTGACTCTGCAGATAACAGGACGTTTTGATGGGGGTTGTGGAGAGCCGTCAGTTTGTGGTGGCTGTGGCCGTGTTTGTGTGACAGGCCGTGTGTGTGCACATGAACCACTGGTGGTAGGACGGGGTCTGCAGCTGCAGTGCTGTTGGCATCTACAATGGGAATCTAAAAAAATGACATCAGTGAGAGAAAAAACAGTTCTTAATGTTTTCTGTGTGAACGTTAGATGGTGAATGTTGTTTTGTCTTCATGAAGCAGAACATATTAGAAGTCAGATGCAGTATTTTACCAGAGTGGAGAACATCTTGCAGTCCACACTGTGCTGGGCGATTGTACCTTTGGCTGTACAAATCCCACGAGCCTGGAGAGAGAGGCACAGCTCTCAGTTTTGTTCATTTTCAACATCTGGTGACCTGATTGAACATTTCTCCATCTCAGATCAGATCAACAGGCCTGAAAACAAACTGAGTGCTTTTACTACTGTGTACTCACAGCCATGGCATCGTTGAGAGGCACGCAGGGATCCTCGGTGCAGTTTCCCTCAACAACCACATATTCTGTTATGAAGATGGGCCCACCAGACACAACCTGAGAGTATTAAACAGCACTGATGAACTGACAGCTGCAGGTTAAAGCATGCAGCTGTGTTACATCTGGTAAAAAGTATCCTGACTGTCTGACCTGTGATGACAACCTTCCAACCTCGAGAAGAACATGTGTCGTGTTCACAGTCATGTTGTTGAAGGTTGTCAGAGAGGCATGGACAAAGTCCAGCGCATCGGTGTTATTGAGGGGAAGGAGGCTGGGACAGCCCAAACACAAATCCTCTGTGGATACTACAAGTCGAGCAGGAAAGTCACATACAGGTTATTGACACATGCAGTATGTATGGACACTGCTGTGGTTTGTTCTTTGTAATCATTTGGATGAGAGCAGCATCTGTGATCTTTACCCTCTGATTTGCACTTGAATGCAATGACCTTCAGAACACCGCCAACCTTCTTCAGCACCACATCACAGTCTCCTTCTACCGCCTGGAAGAGAACGAAGAATCAAAGTAGGTTGATCAGAACTAATATCGACTGAATTACAGGAGTCGAAGCCTGAGAGCTTCTGCGTCTCACCGTCTGTACTTTGGGCCTGACTGTGCAGTTGGCAAGAGGCAGCGGGTCCAACACGTGACAGTCTGTCTCCAGCAGGTCAACTTCCATGTCGTATTCATCTCCGTCTGGCTAAAAAAGCAAAAATATATACAAATCACTGCACAATTGTTACATTACTTTTAAAAAATGTAGTGCATAAGATGGTAATTGACTAAATTCTGCTGTATATATTATTCCAGATGCAGGTGAACATATAAGAGCTCCTATTAGCAAAAATAGAGCACATAGCTGCTTTTGATTTAGTCTGAAAATGTCCTAAAAAGTTAGAAAGAGAGGGGCACCATAAACAAAACTGTCTATAACATGATGCAGTATGGACTGCTACACTTAGTGTTTATCCTTCTTCTCTGCCCAGTGAACTTTATTCTTTTCTACTGTGTTCACACATTTCTGTATGTAACTAAACAGCACCTCCACCTGCTGACTTACCTTCGCGTAGACCTTGATGTCGTCGATCTGGTTCAGTACATACTTGTAGCCATGATGGTGCTGGGCGTTGAGGTAATCCTGCGCCACCAGAGCAGCCTCCTCCGCCTCGGGGGAGTCGCACAGAGGCCTTCGCACGATGGGTTGAGCCCATGTCCCCACCAGCAGTCCCAGCACCACAGTGAAGCTCAGGAGATTCATTTCTGTGTGAAATGCAACAAAAATAAGGTATCACAGACGAGCAGACGCTGGTAAAGATGAGAGGCAGAGCTGGTGCAGGTCGCTGCTTATATATCCTGTACTTTAAACATGAAAACAGAGCCAAGTTAAACACCATGTTCATCCCTCCTGACTCTTGCGTCACATGGTGCTGCTCTTTTTTTTTTTTTTTTTTTTTTTTTTTTTAAAGGATAACTGCCAAAGAAAATGGAAACTCACAAAGTCTAGCGCGGGACGAGCAGCCTTTAGTTCAAATCAGTTTTAGTGTCACACTCCTGCAACATATACTGACACCTGTCTCTATGTCTGCCGTGAATATATATCAAATATTACATGTGAGAAGATCTTTGGGTTCACTCGTATTGTGTAACCAGCTGTCTCCCTCAACAGAGGTCACGCTGGTCATCTACAGAGCTGGGCCCCACTGTCAGCAGGGATCTGCGGACTTGCTCAATGATACTAAAAAAAAGAAAAAAACAGGATGTTTGCCAGGTTTTGGGGGGACAGCGACCATCTGCTTATTACACCAGTGTCACTCAAGGTCAGCAGCAGGCCGCAAACAGAGATACTGATGAGAAGATTTCAAATGTTTTCTCAAATGAGCAATAAAGTGCAGACTGAGGACCGCCGCAGAGTCTTTCCATTCCCTCTAGAATACTTCACAAAGCTTTGAGGTTTAATAACTTTAGTAAAAACACACGGTCACTT